GAGCACATGCAGATCGCCACACGTTGTCGGCCAGGGGTGAAGGTGTGAACATCCGCATCCTGGAGGACAGCGTTGCTCACCAAGTTCGTAGAGAACGAGGGGAGATGGAGACCAGACAGCTCACCAGACGGGACCGCCAGACACGGAAGCACAGTGGAAGACCGTGCAAGCATTGGGCCCCCAGAGGGGTCAGCTAGTGAGACAGGAACAGGTGCAGGAAGGGGAGTGACTGTGGTACTGTCGGGAAAGAAACAGCGGGAAGCACCAGAGTCAAGTGTAAAGGTGTGCAAGGCCTATGCAGGCGCAGTACCAAGGGGAGCAGACTCACAAGCACCTAGTGCTGCAGGGGCTGTACCAGAGGCTATACCAAGATCTGGCGGCACACACAAGTAGCAGTCACCCTTAGCAATAACAGACAATGCATACATAGCAGCAAGAATAGCCTCATAGTCAAGATCAAAGATTGGTACATCACGCCTAAGCAAGTCTGCCCAGTTGGGGAACTCAGTAGCATCAGGAAACTTGGCGCGCCAGGCGTCGCTAAGTCGAGCGAAGCAGCGCTGCTTAGTGTGAAACCCTGTGCACTGGCGATTAGCATGGGGACCCGTGCGGATGATATAGGGGCAGTGACCAGGACCCCAAGAAGCCCCACGCCCGGCATACCAATCAAGTAGCTAGAGCCGTCAATGCTCATCCTCTAATTGATAGGGTTTAGGGTGTGTGGCTGAAGCGTTTGTTTGGGGAGTTTGGGCATGAGTTTGCTAGTGGTGTGCCAGTGTTTGTGGACAACATGTCTGCCATTGCCCTTGCATAGAATGCATGCTTGCATGGCCGCACCAAGCACATGCAGGTTCGGTGGCATTTGATCAGGGAGATGGTGGCAAGCGGCGAGGTGATCCTCCGGTGGTGCCCAACCAACTGTCAAGCAGCAGACATACTCACCAAACCCCTTCCTTTTGAGTGACACGGTACGTGCATGTCCTTGATGGGGATGCAGCCCCATGTTGGCATGGTGCCTAAGTAGGATGTGGATGACGCCCCTCCCTGGGAAAGGGGGTGTGAAGTGAAGGATTTTGCCCAGTGGTGTTTAGCCACCTCCAGCACGAGCAAAGGGGATTGTTGATTGTGTAGGTGGTTGTGGTATTTTGCTCTAGCTGGTTGTGGGCTAAGAGTTTGGGCAAGATGTGGTGGCTAGACATGTTGCGGGCTGGAATTGATCTCGCACCCAACAAGCACCAACAAACCTTGCCTAATCTCTACAGCACCTTCAGTGTTGCTAGTTTGGCACTTTGGGTTGTTAGGGATTGTTGTAGGGCGAGGGTTGGGTTGGTAGGGTTTGACCAACTCGTCACCTTACAGATCTGAACTCTTGCTAAAGGCATTCCTAGATCTAATCCATGGCTGCCAAGTAATCCCGCCAGGACACTCGTCGCACTTAAATTGCGATAGTGATCGGCCTAGATCTTGGTTGAAGGCGTGCGTTACCACTTTGGAAAATAGAGAATAAGACCGTTCCAACGCGTACGTGTTAATAGTTCAAGGTTACGTGAGCTGCACGCAATGTTCCGTCGAAGTCGGCGGACTTAATTTCTTGTACACTCTCCAGATTAGCTCGCTTTCCATCAACAGTATCAAAGCTGGTTAGGCCTGCGACATTCCGTCTTTTCAACATATTTCGAGTTGGTAAGTACTCCAGATCTAGGGTTGGTCATGGCCCAGAAATGAGATGGCCCTTCTAGGTTCACCGGCTCGGATTTTCGGCTATGGCGTTTCCTGTTTATGTTTTGGCTAGGGATCTAAGTCCTCGAACTCGTTTTGGAGGGATCGGAGCAAAGACCTGGAGCTGATGAAGCCGAGGCATCTGCTGAAGTGTCTATCCAAGTGGGAGCAGATGCTGGGGGAGCCTCTAGCTCATCTATATGTGAGGGAAGCGGAGGTGGAACAGTAGCATCACGAACCGAAAGGCAACGGCTTAGTGTGGAGGAGCTACTAAGGCACAGGAAGCATGGGACTGCAAGGACAAGCAAGCGTTCCAGTACTTGTGTTAGGCTTCGGAAGGCCAACTAAAGCAACTAAAGATGCTGAATGACCTGAAGGGGAAGCAAGGAGCAGCTGCCCAAGCATGGAAGAGAGTTCAAGATCGACATTTGCAAAAAGGGTTGCTAAGCATACTCACCTGGAGGAAGCGGTTCTACTCTATGGAACGCAACTATGGTGATGGAGAGACCATGGTGCAGTTTCTCCAGAGGGTGGATGAGTATATGAGGGCCTTGGAGGAGTTGAAATACAAAGTAGATAAGGAGTTGATCTACACTGCACTCCAGGGGCTGGACCAAGAGGCGAACGAGGCCCTACTGCAGTACCTTCACTTTGAGCAGCAGAAATGGACCAGGGTGTGGATATGGGAGGTTTTGGTTTCTGATGAGGGTCGCAAAAGTGATACTGGTATAGGAGTTGAAGGGAGAATGTGGGCAGGTGATAGGGCTGCCTTCAAGAAGTATCATCAGCGGCAAGGGGGTGGGGGGAAGAAAAAGGAGCTGGACAAGTGCCTCATCCCTGGATGCAACCGAAAGCACTATTGGAAGGAGTGTTGGAGCCGATCAAATAGGTGGAAGCCTCAAGGGTACCCAGGAGAGGCTCCACCTGTCACTAGGCCTAAGTGGGTAGAGAGGAGGATGAAGAATGGAGCATGGACATCACAAAAACCCTATGCCAAGTTTGGACGAATTTTGATTGGGGTTGTCTTCGCGTAAAAAAGTCCGGACCCAATTTCGACCGACGGTTGGAATCATTTGATAGGAGCTCCGACACACATCTCGCGACAAGGTTTGGCTCGGGTCAAGTTTCAAATTGGCACGTGAGCTTTTCCGGATGACATTCCAGCGCAATCCGTTTTGGTGCAATTTCGGTACCAAAACATAAAAAAACTGGATTTTGGTTTTGTTTTATTTTGGGTATTAAGGATTTCAGAATTACATTCAATATTTTGGTAAACAACAACTATTATTCAGCATTCTAACAACCAGCAGTTTTAGCACCAGGTCAAATAGCCCACGCAATGCTGGGTCCTGCAATCGCCCAGTGGGCAAGAATGACATCTCCAAGGTCGTCATCGTTGAGGAGGAACTTGCTCGGGAAGACGAACGCACAGTGAGCCGGATCGTGTGGGATCCGCCGCTCCACGACGACAAAGTGTATCATCTGTTTGACCTTGTCACACCACTCGAAGTAGTCCGGCCTGTTTTGTTCCAGCTGGGCCGGAATTCGCTTGCGACACTTATCCTGCAGAAGGGGCCACTCGATCTGCAATGTGGTGTAGGGTTGGGTGGATGGAGTATGGGGGTGGGGGGGGGGGGGGTTACGGGTATATGGGCCAACTGAAAGAGGTGAAGACGACACACCCTACGTAACCGCAAACGCCTAAGCGACCAGGGATTTAGATGAAGTACAGGCAACCCATATCTCCCGAGACATGAGGCATGGGTGTACAGACACATATCTATATCCTTACCGAAAACAGGCCCCATGCCACCATGCGGCTCTTGAATTTGTTGAACACGACCCCGCCCCTCTTGAAGGAGAGCTTGAACGCATAAGCAAACAAGGGGTTGCTGAAGGGCGTTCCAGTGGTCTTGTGAAAGTGCCAGTTGAGGGCCCACTGTTTTGTATTTTTGGAGGGAGCGTACGGGTTGGAAAGGGGGTACATAGAAATCAAGTGGCTGGGTGAGAGTCAGGGTGAGGAACACCGCACGGCTATTTGTAGCTGCCACCTGGTATATGGGCAGGGGGATATGGTGTGTTCGAGTTGCACATACCATCTCTGTACTCGGCCAGGAGATCCCCGTGGTTGAACCACTTCTTTGGGTGTAGCTCAGTGGGCAGGGTATCCACGAGATGGGCGTAATCAGAGAGGCCCATGCCGGCGTACGTTGCTGGCCTGAGGGTGCTGTTGATTGTTGACCTGGTTGACGACATCTGGTGGTTGAAGACACCCATGGTTGACTTGTCGTTGTCCAACCACAGCAGCTTCATTGACTTGAGCCCTTCGGCAAACAAGTGGACAGCGAACGCCTCGAACACTTCCTCCGGTGCAGGGTAGTAATGGATTTTTTCCGGGGGGTTCAGAAACAGGAGCTGAGCGCACACTAAGTAGGCCTTGTTCTGCGCAGGGGTGTGGGGTTTACAACACAACATGGGGAGAGAGAAACCATCAGTTATGACTATGGCCGCGTGACCACAGGATGGACTGTGTGAACTTTCCACGTCACACCCTCCTCCATCCGCCACATCCACCAGCAACCAGCCCCACTTGCCACGTCACATCCACCCACCCCATGCCACGTCACCCCCTACCCACCTGATACGCGTCACCTCATCACGCGTCGCTCCTGTGTAACCTTCCAAGCCGCCACATCAGCCCCAAGCCTCACATTCCACCACGTCACACCCTCCTCCATCCGCCACGTCAGGGAACAACCAGCCCCACGTGCCACGTCACACCCACCCACTCCATGCCACATCACCCCCCACCCACCTGACATGCGTCACCTTGTCACGCGCCGCTCGCGTGTAGCCGTCCAAGCCGCCACGTCAGCCCCAAGCCTCACATCCCGTCACGTCACACCCTCCTCCATCCGCCACGTCAGGGAACAACCAGCCCCACGTGCCACGTCACACCCACCCACCCCATGCCACGTCACCCCCCACCCACCTGACACGCGTCACCACGTCACGCGCCGCTCGCGTGTACCCGTCCAAGCCGCCACGTCCGCCCCAAGCCTCACATCCCGCCACGTCACACCCTCCTTCATCCACCACGTCAGGGAACAACCAGCCCCACGTGCCACATCACACCCACCCACCCACCCCATGCCACGTCACCCCACCCACCTGACACGAGTCACCTCGTCACGCGCCACTCCTGTGTACCCTTCCAAGCCCCCATGTCAGCCCCAACCCGCCCCATTTGGCCCGCCACATACCGGGAATGGGTTTGTCTCCTACAACACTAGCACTCGTGCATTGTCCACGGCACTCATCGGCGGCGGGGTACCAGCCATAGGCGCGGCTGCGAAACCCCCGGCATAACTGGCAGGTACTCCACGACGCATGCCGAGCTGGGCAAACATGGCGTACATCTCAGACCGCAACGCGTGGAACTCCTCCCGTGTAACAAACTGCTCGTGCTCCGCAATTTCACCTAGGGCACCCATGAGCGGTGGAAAAGGGTGTGAAGAATCCCCCCTCTGGCCAAGGGTTTCAGCATCTTCTTCAGCAGTCCCGTGTGCCCTCACACTATCACGCTGGCAGGAAAAGGAGAGCTCAGGGAAGGGATTGGCAGAAGTGCTTGGCTGATGCCCGCGCGAAGGACCAGCGAGGGGGGAGACCGCCCTGCCCCGGACAGGAGAAACGTGTAGCGGCCAAAATGGGTATGAGGGTGAGGCGAGTGGGGAGCGCGTGATGGGGCCTGGTGGAGGTGATTCAGATTCCTCTCCTCTTGGCGCGCCGAGAGCCGTCGCAGCGACTTTGCTTGGGCCGGAGTACGGCGTGAAGAACCTTGGGGCTCCTGTAGATAGCGGCGTCACACTCGCTCTTCCGGCCCCCTTCATTAGCTGCATCCGTTGCACGCTTACCGGTGGCCCAATGCCTGTAACGTGAGGGGCTGGGATTTAGAGGGAGTAGGATCAAGAAATTAAAGTCGACCAGTATCAATACAGGCTCAGACAGTCATGCATGAAATCAATGGTTTGAATCTAAATCGGGCTTAGGTGTGTACTGTTTTGAGACAGGAGACTTTACCTTTCTTTGCAGATTCGTCGTCCTTCTCCTTCCCTGCATGGGAGAAACAACGTGTAGAATGGTGTTATTTGGCATGGTTGCGCAAAGAGTGCAACAACCACGCCCGGTCTATTGGCCAGGGTGCTCACCTTTCTGCTGTCCCTTTGGTTTTTTTGGGGCCAGCGCCTTCTCGTTGCCACCTTTGCGCGGGGTGCTTTGACAGCCGCTGCGACGTTTACCGGCAGGTTCTTTCTTGCCAGTACCCAATGGAACCCCTTTGGCGCTGCCACCCTTACCTCCTCCATCCCTTTTTGCTCCCTGGCGCCCTTGCTTTTTACCACCCCCTTCACTTTCGACCTTCACCTTACGCGCCTTCGGTCTGCCAGCTGCTGCGCCGTGCGCGGCGTCAAATGCCCCGCATTTTCGGGAATGGCGAGTCCGGCCCCCCACCTTCCCTGTACCACTCTGCCGTCTGCCATGCCCACCCCGTCCCTTCACTGCCGCCACGTCCTCCTCCTCCTCCCCCTCTTCCTCCTCCTCCTCCTCCTCTGCCTCCTCCTCCTCCTCCTGTTCATCCTCCTCCTCGTCGTCCCCCTGCTCTTCCTCCTCCTCCTCCTCCTCCTCCTCCTCCTCCTCCTCCTCCTCCTCCTCCTCCTCCTCATCCTCCTCCTCCTCCTCCTCCTCCTCCTCCTCCTCCTCCTCCTCCTCCTCCTCCTCCTCCTCCTCCTCATCATCATCCTCCTCCTCCTCCTCCTCCTCCTCCTCCTCCTCCTCCTCCTCCTCCTCCTCCTCCTCCTCCTCCTCATGCTCCTCATCGTCCTCCTCCTCCTCCTCCTCCTCCTCCTCCTCCTCCTCCTCCTCCTCCTCCTCCTCCTCCTCCTCCTCCTCCTCCTCCTCCCCCTCTTCGTCCTCCCCACCATCATTCTCATCTTTTTCATCCTCCCCAACATCCGCGTCATCCTCCTCCGCATCCTCTTCATCCTCCTCTTCCTGCGCATCCTCCTCCTCGGCCTCACCAGGGTCTTCACGACCCCGTTTCTTGTCCCTCCTTCCGCCGAATGTTTTTCTTGCTGCGGGTTGGCCCTTTTGGCGCAATGCATGACCCGTCGCTTTGCCACTAGCTTCACTGGCGCCTCGCGTTCTCCCAACTTCCGCGCCACCGGCGTCGTCGGCACTGCCTGTCGTCTGCCGCCTCTTCGCCCGCGTGGTGATGTCCCCGGGCACGGCGGTGTCAGAATCGTCCTCCTCATTGCTCTTCCTCTGCCTACGTCTCCCCCGTCCACCAAAAGGAGGAGAGCCACCGACGTCGGCTATGCCGTGGTTAGGATCCTCCATCGACTCGTGCTCCCCCACCTTGTCCTTATCCAGCACGGCAGCAGAAATTTCGACCACGGTCGGCTGGAGCAGCGTCAGATGGTGTTGAGATGCCTCCGCCTCGGACTCCTTGGTTGCGGTATGCTCGGCGCGTGGATCGCCTCCGTGGTTTCCCCCAGTCGCCGATCCCTCTCTCTCCACCGACGGGACTGCAAGACTCGCGCTCCCTTGCCCCGGATGTTCGTTGCCGCCACTGGTGCCGTCGTTAGTTGGACCGGGCGTGGTTCCAGTTGAGGCAACATCCGCATCTTTGTTCACTGTAGAAACACGCTTGCGTGGCATTGGTTGCTTCCCGTTGTCTGCCTCCTTCCTGCCGGACTTCTCTTGATCCGGCGCGACCTTCTTTGCCGCCACTTTTTTCAGCCCAGTGCCACGCGCAACGGACGCATTAGTTTTCTTAGCGCCGCAACCACCCTCCCTATCGGTCCGTTTAGACATCGTCCTTGTCGCTCGGCGTCCGGGCTGTTCCTCCTCCATTGCTTGTTGACGTGTGGCACGTGTCATGGTTGCCGTAGGAATACCAAGATCTATCGCGCGAAACGGGTTAGCCTGTTTTGAAGGGTCACAGCAACTGATTATCACTAATTGTTTAATGATGGCCTATCACTGGTATGTTTCTCCGAAAATTGCTGCTATCACTAAACCTGAAATAGTAGCCACTCATCACAGAGATACGGCCCGTGACTTAGTATATTGGTGAGTCACGGGCGATCTGGAAGCGCGCTTGTCAAACAGCGAGCAGTGTGTAAGTGTTGGCATAGAGGGTGACGGGAGCAGGTGGGTGGGGCACGAGGGTGGTTGGGGTGGGTTGCAAGGCTACAGAGATTACTGTAACCCTATAAGGATATATCGGACGGTGTACGTATAGCCACCCGTGCATAAACCCGCCTACCCCTCGATCTCATCCGCTCAATGGCGGAAGTACCTCTTGGCTGGTGCTTGTGTTGTGTGGGGACTCGTTTGAGATGCATTGGCCAACCACGGTTGCCAAAGCATCAATCTCTATGCATAGTATGACAGTTTTAGAACCTCAAGTGCAAATGTAACCTTATCCCTGCAAAGTACAGTGATCTCGTGAACGCACAATGTTCAACATGTACGCGGAATAAATTAAAAAAAAATACAACAATAAAAAACATCCAAAACTTTGATGCTCTTGGTTTAGTATGGGGTTGCCGCCGGTAGTGGGTTTGTCTCATGTCACACACACAAAGTGTAACAAACGAATGTGTTGACGAATAGTGACAGACGAGAAAAGGTAGTTGTATGGTGTTGGGTTGTCATCCATTCTTGCACGGACATTCAACAAGGTGCTTAGAGAGAGTGGTTTGAAGCACAGGCCCACCGCACAAGCGTAGATGCGTTCTCGACAACAGTGTTTAGACAGTGCGACGATGCCACGTTCCGGCCTGTGTGCTGCGCAACATGGTGAATCCGTTGTGGTTTGGCGTTGGATTGTCGTCCATTCTTGCACGGACATTCAACAAGGTGCTTAGAGAGAGTGGTATGAAGCACAGGCCCAATGCACAAGCGTAGATGCGTTCTCAACAGCAGTGTTTAGACAGTGCGACGATGCCGCGTTCCGGCCTGTGTGCTGCGCGACATGGTGAATCCGTTGTGGTTTGGCATTGGATTGTCATCCATTCTTGCAAGGACGTTCAACAAGGTGCTTAGAGAGAGTGGTATGAAGCACAGGCCCAATGCACAAGCATAGATGCGTTCCTGACAGCAGTGTTAAGACAGTGCGACGATGCCACGTTCCGGCCTGTGTGTTGCGCGACATGGTGAATCCGTTGTGGTTTGGCATTGGATTGTCATCCATTCTTGCACGGACATTCAACAAGGTGCTTAGAGAGAGTGGTATGAAGCACAGGCCCAACGAACAAGCGTAGATGCGTTCTCGACAGCAGTGTTCAGACAGTGCGACGATGCCCCGTTCCGGCCTCTGTGTTGCGCGACATGGTCAATCCGTTGTGGTTTGGCGTTGGATTGTCATCCATTCTTGCACGGACATTCAACAAGGTGCTTAGAGAGAGTGGTATGAAGTACAGGCCCAACGCACAAGCGTAGATGCGTTGCCGACAGCAGTGTTTAGATAGTGCGACGATGCCACGTTCTGGCCTGTGTGTTGTGCGACATGGTGAATCCGTTGTGGTTTGGCATTGGATTTTCATCCATTCTTGCACAGACATTCAACAAGGTGCCCAAAAGGAGTGGTATGAAGCACAGGCCCAATGCACAAGCGTAGATGCGTTCTCGACATCGCTGTTCCGACGCGGCGACGTTGCAGCGTTCAGGCCCATGGCTTGCGGGACATGGTGAAACCGTTGTGGAATGGTGTTGGGTTGGGCTCAATTCTTGCATGGGCCCTCGACAAGGTGCATGGAGGGTGTGGCATGAAGCACTGGTCCAACGTACGAGCGGTTATGCGTTATCGACATCGCTGTTAAGACGCGGCGACGTTGCAGCGTTCAGGCCCGTGGCTTACGCGACATGGTGAAACGGTTGTGGAATGGTGTTGCTTCCCAAATGGTAGCAGACCACACTAACCGTGTTGTTTTTAAGCACTGCCATTGTCAATATGCCGGAAGGTATTGAGCATGCCGTAAAGTATGGTCGTATGATCGTTAAGAGTGACACTAAGCTATTTGTTATATGTAACTGTACAATGGTATTACCTGGTTTGGATTAAGGCTATGGGGGTGCGCACCACTTTGGGCACACCTCCGTGATCGCGATCTCCCCCCTATAGAGACTCTCGAAAGAATCACAACACCAAACAGATCTCTTCCCTCTCTTCCTCTCCCACCTTGACTCTCATATACGATTCAAAAACCGAAGTTTTGAATATGGAGGCACGTACTCCTCACCGTGCTCGTCACGCACGCCCGCGACCAAGCTAGCCGTACACCACTACATAAGGCCCTGCTCACATCGTAATCACTCTAACAGGGGGCGACACGCCTTGTAGGGAAGGCCTATGCCGTGCTGTCGGCGGTCTGTATCTAGGCTTGTCACGGCCGCGCTGCGCGACCATTGTTAGCTAGTCTCTCACTAATGCGCCACGATCAAATGCCAGGCGTGCAGAGATCCAAGCCGCCGTGGACACTTCGCGCTGTAGCGATGACCGTGCTGGAGTCTGAGCCTTCATTGATCGTGAAGTAAAAGCGTTTACAAGATTCAAACTGGCTAGTCTCCTCACACTACATTACACCACTCTTAGACGAATCTAGAATACATGGGCTCTTTGCCAGGCGTAGTATGCGAGTTCTACAACAGATGGTTCCCCAACGCCAGCTTTATGGCGGCCATAAGTCACGGCGGACCCCTTGTCAGGGGCTTTCCGCTGTGGCAAGGCCCTCCTTGTCTGCACCGTCCGCCGGTCTACACGCTCTGCTGTTCGTCCACGACATTCTGTCAGACGCTCCTGCTGCATCTGCTTCCCCTACCGCGTCTAACGCGTCCAACACCGACGGTGTGAAAGGTCCTCCTCGCGTGCCCGAAGCTGACGGGGACGCAACACCTTCATCTGTGAACGTGGGTGCTCCTGAAAGTGAGCATCAACCGCCTCCCAGAACACATGCCTCTGACACGAGAAAGCATCCGGAGAGCCGCCCTAAAGAGACTCACACCGCACCGCCGACATGCATCTCTGGGCAGAGCAATGCCATGCCCCTCAATCCGCATGCGTTGAAGCTGCTGCATTTGGTGCGGCGCGTTAATGGCGAAATGGGAATGGCGGAGATCGACATCAATGGCCTGCTTCAGCTCGTGGTGGAGCCTGGCCTTGCGCCTCCTGTGATCTCAGAGATCTGAAACAGCAAGGATCTGGAGCGGTTCGAGATAGAGCGCTTGGTTGGGCTCAATCGCAGATGATGAGTGGCGACCTTCGAGATTGACGGTCATCCGCCACAGCACCTTCTCTTCCAGAATTCTGCGTAGGTAAGTTGAATCTGGATCCGTGGCTGTGAAATGCAGATTCCGCATCCATTTGGTGCTTGTTGAACGTTGCCTCTGTTAGGCTTGTGTGAGATCTGACCCACCTTCAACGCCACTAACCAGGGTTTGGTTCTCTCCTGCTCTTGCCACTGTACGCCAGGTGTTTGCCGAACTGTTTGGGCATACCAACAACGCGCCGGACTTCAAGCTCAAGGCTCGTGTCGATGAGGACCCTGACACAGGCGAGCGTCGCTATACCACGCCGGAAACTGGAACGTGGTGGAACAATGTTCAGGTATGGAAATACATCGTTGCCACCCAAAACCAGAAGAGTGCGCATGCCTCCGTTGATGCACTGTTGTGTAGGGAGCATCTTCAGTGTGTCATGTTTCTGGGGAGTTCTTTGAAGCATGCTTAGTCCACCTGGCGACAAGTTACCTTGTTGGTGTTTGACCGTGTGCCTTTTCCCTCTTTGTCGTGCCTTGCAGGAACACTTTGGATGGTCCGAAGTCGTGGGGGGTATCATCCTATACTTGGATGTGACGCACATGAGCAACAACGGCCGGAAGAAGATGTGGCTGCTAATGATGACGCTTGCAAACATCTCCCAGGCCAAGCAATGGGGGAAAGCCGGGCACACGCTACTTGCTCTCCTTCCTTTCCTCCCTTCTGCAATGTTTGCCGTGGAGAAGGTGATGCTCTTCCATCGATGCGTCATCACCGGCTGCAGCCGCTTCTTGATGGCATAGAGAGGTCCGTACTCTATTTCCGTCTTGCTATGTCGTCACCCAATCAACGTCATAGTATGCGCAGCGTTTCTATATGTAACATTCCCCCTTGTCCCTCTTCGCCAATGCACAAAGCCAAAATCCCTGTTCGTGTTGCCACAATACCTGTTCCTTGCAGCGGGTTCCGTCTCAAGGACCCTTTCGGTGATTGGCAAACCGTGCGGCCCCTGCTGTACGCCTGGGTGTGCGACTACCGTGAGAGCGGCAAGATCAGTTGCACACTCTCGCATGGATCGCGGATGCCGTGCAGCATCTGCTATGCTGCAAAGGTGAGCAAACATGCGATCTGCGTGCCTTCAGAAACATCGCCATCCGAATGGCACATGACGGACCTCATAATCTCACCTCCCTTACCTGTTCATCCCACCCCACCCCCTGTGCTACACCAAGAGCATCTGGTTGCTGTAAAGGCACGGAACACGCCGCGCACACCCGAACATCAGCAATGGATCGTGAATGAGGCGGCAGGGTTGACATCAAGCCAGGACGACCCATGCAAGACCTACTCGACCTACCCGGTTGAGGTGAGCGACCTGTTCTCTGGGCGACTGTGTAGTCTACGCACTCCTTGTTGCTCAAAACTTGGGGAGATGTGCTATACCCCATTGCACTGTCCCACATGTTGTGTGCCGAGTCTCTCAAATACCTTTCTCTACCATTCCCCACCACATCCCCTTTTCCAGTGTGTGCTCTGGAAGTGGGATGTCCCAA